TATGCCTTTTGCTCAAACTTGTTAAGTAATTTTCCTGTTGAAGTGTATATATCTTCTTTTTGCAAGTCTAATGCCAGTAGCAGTCTATCAATCAGATAAAGACTCTGGATAGCTTGGAGACTTAATATAATAAAATCATATTTCAAAAAAAAATTAATGAAAACTAGCTAATAAGACAGAAAAAAGATCTTTTAGGCGAAAGCTTATGTGGGAAATGAAATGGTGGGTGGAACCTTAGAAGTTTGACAGTAGGACAATGCCCATTGATGAGGACAAATCTCAATCCCAATGAACTCAAATTTAATATGGATGGATCCACTAAAAGTAAACCGGAATTGAGTAGATATGGTGGAATGCTTCTTGATGTAGAAGGCTCGATTGTTGAACTGTTGTTTGATTCACTTAACATTCAAGAATCAAATTTTGTGAAATTAATGACCGTTAAACATGCTCTACAAATAATTATAACTTCCCTCTCAATGGGATGAGAAAGGTATGAAAAAGATTGGTGATCGAATCTGATTCGAGAGTGGCACCATCTTGAGTTAATGAGCCACACAAGAGGCCTTGGGTCCATAGAAAGATCCTTGATAACATTGATGCATGTCTATGCTCCGTTGAAAACTACGAGTTTAGTTAGTTCAACGGAAGCTTTGGTGAAAAGGATAAAAAAAAATGCTCTTTGCACGGTGGTAATGTAACCTATGTTTGAGCTATGAATGTTTGGACGAAATTTCCTTCTACTTTTGTTTATTTTTGTGACTGCATAACTGGTTTGTTGAAAGACCCGGTTGGGTAGTTATCATATTAAATTCGAATTTTATAATATATCATATTAATTAGTTAGAGACATTAATAAAATTGGTTTTCATGAACATCTTAGTTTTTAAATTTGAGATTTTATTTAAGAAATCTCAAATTCGAAGATTGAATATATTATAATAAATTTGATTGAAGATGGTATATTTTTAAAATATGTTATTAAAAATATATTTAATAATATTTTTTTATACTTTTCAAAACATTTTTATAGATAACTTTACTATATAAATTTTTAAATGTATTATAAATAAAATGTAATTATAGAAATTGTATATACTAGCAAAAGTTATACTTT